CACACACACACACACACACACACACACACACACACACACACACACGTGGCGATTGACTCCTGATTTCACGTCTGCAGGAAAAAAAAACGGAAGAAGGAAGAACAGATCGTCGTCCTCCTGCAGGGAGCTGAGCCTTCATCATCACCTTCATCATCACCTTCATCAGTGTTTCTGCTGAGTCATGGCGGGAGCTCTCAGGTACATAATTACATCAATCTTTCTCATTTAAATCATTCTTTGTTTTCTTGCTTTCCCCCTTTTTTACATGCTGTACCTATTAATGTATTATTATTATTCAGAGGGTCAGATACACAATAATTAAAAAGAAAAATATAGTTAATAAATAATACTTTAAAAAAATAACAAATGAAAATATAAATACATGAATAATTAAATTAAATAGACATTTAGGGGGGAAATACAGCAGATTATTTCATTTAATTTATCTGATAAAAGCACAATGAAAGACTAAACTAATAAAGTACGAGCTTTAATAAATGTTTGCGCATCTGGATTAGTTTAACCTGGTTTTAACATCTAAAGTTACTAAAACTGTCAGATGAATGTAAATACTAGAGTACAGAAGAAGTACCTCATAATTGTTCATGATACAGTACTTGAGTACTTAGTTATGTTAATCTGCATGAAACACATGAAGTAGTTCAGATTAGCCTCATTGTGCCCGACTACAGCTGTACAATAATAGATGTTTTATTAATCAAATCATTTAATTATTGTTTTATATGTTTTTTATTTGCACACACGAGACTTCATCAAATCCAGATAATGAATAAAAACAGAAAGAAAGAAAAACTACTATGTTTTGTAAAGTACATTTTCCTGATACAACGTAGATACTTTTACTAAAGTACATGAAGTGAATACTTCCTCCACCACTGAGTGAAAATAACGATGAAATAAAACGTGCGGTCCCCCTTCCACACAAACCAGTTCACAACCAGCTGGTTGAAGAGGTCTCTCCCTGTTTGCTGGTCTCTCTGGTGGATCCGGTTCTTTCAGGTCTTTGAGGGACTTTGAGGACCCGTTTGAGCCAAAGACCATATTTATATGATGAGGACAAAACATTGTTGTGATCGGTCTGAAGTCTCTGGACCAGATCAACAGTCACACTTTCATTGGTTTCTACTCTGTGAATGTTAGATTCAAAGAACACTTGGTTGTGTTTCAGAGTTACAGACGTTGGTCATGTTTTATCCTCAAATATGATGTAATATTTATTAAATATGATGAAATAACTACAATAAAACATTCCCCCCATTAGAGATGGTTTTCTCCGTGTTAATGATGAACTCTTTCCTCCGGTTGGTAGAAACTTGAAGCTGTTTCAGAGAAACAGAAGAAGTAGAATCACCTCCTGCAGAGGTCAGAGGCCACACAGAAAAACCCCGATCACAAACTTCCCCCTCCGGGTTTTCTCTCTAAATCTACCTGCCGTGGGTTTATGTTAATGAGGCCCCTCTGTGCTGCGTCCTGATTGGCCGCTGGTGCCCCAGAAGGGGGCTGTCATTCTTGCAGAAGGAGGCGGTTCAGATCTTATTAGATTCAGAGTCTCTGCAGTGAGGAAGGTTTTCCTCTGAGGCTGTAGAGCTGAGGAGAGACAGGAAGTCAGACCTGAAACCAACAGAGAGACGAGCAGAGAGGAAGCAAGGAGAGGAAGTAAGGAGACATGAAGCGTCAGGTCTGTGTCTCTTCTTTGTCCTTTAATCTGCTGCAGAAGTTCTTGTGTTCATGACGTCTGGACTCGTTTCATCGACTTAGATTCTCTGATGATAGAAAGTAAATATGAGAGCGTATGCAGACGACACACTGATCTATTGAACCAATCACTCACTACGGTCACGCTGATCTTCCAACATTGTTCTGATTGGATCAGAGTTTAGACTTAAACAGATTTTTCTGATTGGACATGAGAGCGTCTTCAGTTCTGAAGGAGTTCAGACTCGTTAACAAGTCAGAGTATCAATAAAGTTATTACAGTTCATCCTGAATGATGAACCAATGTTCATCACAATAAGACAGACAGACAGACAGACAGAAGGACATACAGACAGACAGAGAGACAGCTAGATGGACAGACAGACGGACAGAGGGACAGTCAGACGGACGGACGGATGGATGGACAGACAGATGTTATCATCCGTAGAGCCACACCGGTAGTTTTGCTGAAAATATTAAATATTTAAATATTTGTAGTTTTCTGTCTAAAAACTTGATGAAATCACGGCGTGTCTTGTTTTACACTTATAAATAAATATATAAGATAAAACATGATAATCAGTTTAACGTAAGTAATTATGTTTAAGTCAGGACGGTACTTCAGGAGAACTTTGATGTACTGAAGTATTTCTATGTTCTACTACTTTCTACTTCTCTTTTCCTCTTGTTCTTTTTACTGCATTTATCTGAGAGCGTTAGTTACTTTACTACTCATAATGTGCTCTCCACCAAATAATAATAATAATAATAATAATATATATTCAATTTACATTTCTTCACATTTAAAATGTAGACTTCTGGCAGTTAGAATGAGCTCCACCAGATCAATGATAGTAATAATAATCTGATTCTATAGCCTTCTACTGAGTACCTTTTAAACTTGTATTATATTTTGATGCTGAAACAGAGTATTTCTCAAATGTGTCTTTTTTATTCATAACAGAGGCGTCACATGTCAAATGTAGGTCAAGTTACAGAAATCCATCTGGATCCAATGTGCAGAACTAAATGTTGCTCACACTTCTTCTGTTTCCTGCTGCTGCTGCTTCTTCTTCTTCGTGTACGATCAACAGCAGCACAGTGACATCATCAACAGTAGCCCCGCCCCCCTCAGATCTGGAATTCTGGGGGTTTTCCTCAGCTCGGCCACTTCCAGGAAGTGACTGAAAACAGGCCGAGAGGAGGAGGAGGAGGGAGAGAGAGAGAGAGAGAGAGAGAGAGAGAGAGAGAGAGAGAGAGAGAGAGAGAGAGTC